CTAGATTTGAGTCTACAACAGAACTCTATTTCAGTGATGGTTTTGGTGCATGTTACCCAAGGGCAGACAGGCCTCTGCACCACAAGGATGATTTCTACGTAGGGCATGATGCTTTCATGTGGGTTTGATTGAACTGAGAGGATAAAGCCCAGTTCCCCAGTCCAGAGTGACCTACTTTCCCCTTCAGCATCCTTTCATTCATGTTTTGACAGGGCTTTGAGCAACCTGGTCTAGTGGAAGATGTCCCTGCCCATGGCAGGGGGCTGGAACTGGATGTGTTTTAAGTTCCCTTCCAACCTTAACCATTCTACGATTCTCTAATGCACCTGCTTGTAGTGCTCCCTGGGGAGCATAAAGGCCTGAATAAACAAGAAGGACTCATAATCCTGTGAGCATCGCACACACAAAAGCATTAATAAGTTGTGGAGACAGGGATCTGGAATGGGAATGTATCAGCCCCAAAGCATCAAATAAATGGGGAGGTTAATAAAAAGGTAGAAAGTGTCATCAAGATGTAGGTATGTATATGTTAGTAGCTAGAGGGAGAATGAAGTGTTCAAAACCTTCCTAACAACCCCCCAGAAGCTATGAGAGTTAATGTCCCTACTTGGGACAATCTCTAGGGTGGGTAGGTGACACAATTCTGGGCTTTGAGGTGAAGCTCTGAAGCCTCAAGCTCAGCCACCAGCTGAGGGAGGAGGGCTGGATGCTTATTTCTCACCTCACACAAATCCTACTCATGTTGCTTTGTCATTTGGTTGATGTTTTAGCTCTCTCAGTAAGAAAATTTCTTACCTTTGATCCACCCCCTGGAGACTTTCTTGGTTTAAGAGATACTTTCTGCACGATCGGAAAAGATACTCTTTCTAAGCCTATGAAAGCAATCCTGGTGTCTGCCAGGGCTCTGCTTGAGCAGATTTATTAAAGGAGGCCAAATGAAACTTCCCATGACCCAGTACATTTCAAAGAAAGCATCAGGAGCACAGGGCTAATATAGTTTATCTTGGATATTGGATTTATTTTGGCTGTAACAAATAGTTTGGCTTTCTGCCCTATCAGTTTGCCAATGAAAACACAGATCCAAGGTTTTCAGAATGCGGGGTTGTAGCAAGTCTGAAAAATGACACAGTGAAACACATACCAGCTAATAAAGAGCTATTCATACTATAAATGCCCTAATGTGCTGCTTTCCACACAGGGACACCTTCCACTAGACCAGGTTGCTCCAAGCCCTGTCCAACCTGGCCTTCAATACTGACAGGGATGGGGCGTTGTTTGAACACTCAAGGTTAGGAGTGCGGTGTTGTGGAGTCCATGACTCTAAATGTTCTATTCCCCTTTCTTGATATTATTCTTGGTATGTAAGTCACTGCTTTGGTGACAAAGGTACCAACTTGCAAAAACATTTTATTACAAGTCCCTTAGACCCGGAATCTAAAGACCACTCTTGTATTTACTGACTATGGAGATTTTTATACATATATATATTATTTTTTTACCCTACAGGATGAACAGAGACACCCAGAAAAAGAAGTAATACACAGAGATGAGTGAAGGCACAGATTTCTCTGGAAATGTCATTCACAAACTCAACAGCTTTCTTATTCTTTCCTTTGCCTCAACCTGGAACCTGAACTTTATACACTAAGTAAAGAGCTGCAAAGACTGGGGCTCCTCTAGGATATGAACAACAGAAGTCTGAGCTGACAGAACTCTGGTAGGGACATCTCTCAGCTGATACTCCAGGTCTTTTATAGAAACCATGGAGCTACTCAGAAATTGTTTTTTTTCCTCACTTCTAGGCCAAAATTACAGCCAAAAGTCTGAATAAAAGTCACAGTTCAGAGGAAAAGCAGTAACTGATAGTAAAATAAACACTGCAAAACTCAGGTGTAAGTTGATTTATTTGAGGAAAGCACAAGGTGCTTTAGTGACAGGATGCATTACTAATGCAGCAACAGCTACTGGTGCTTTATCTGAAATAGGATTTTATACAGGACTTTACATCAGCTTCTTTACTATAGGTTTCCCTAACAAAAAATTAAAAATAAAAGATCTGTTTTTTTTTTTTTAAAAAAGGGCAGTGTGAAAGCATCCAAATATCCCTGACAGCAAGACTTAATGGAGGTTTCCAGATTGGTAACTAAAATGGTTAAGTTAGTAACATGGCAGGAGCTGGATTCCAGCTTTCTATTTCAGTAAGACACTAAATTTTCCAAATAAGCTGATGCTACAAGAAGTGTCACTTACAAAAACATTAAAGAAGAGCAAAGGATGTAAGACAGGGAAAAAAGGCTGCCACAAAAAGAAATATGCCATTTACATCTCAAAGATCAGTTTTAACATTAGTCTAATGCTGATATACTTGAGCTAAGAAAAAATGACTGTACTTTCTAGAAGGAATGGAAAACAGATATACTGAATTGAATACTGACTTTGGAGCAAAGAATACGTGCTTTTTCCACTCAAGAGGTGAAATGCTGATGTAAAACCTTGTTAATAATGATGTATCAACTCATACTGCTACACACTTGTTTTTTGCCTTTATTTTGTGCATGCAGCTATTTTACCCTACACACAGATGTAAACTCCTTTCCCTTCAGTGAACTGCCCCATCAAAGCTCAGGCAGCGTAAAGGTTCAGTACAAGTACAGAAAATGCCTCACTCTCTCCATCTCGTGGGCATAAATGAATGTTGCAGCATGTGTCTGACTACCTCAAGGAACCCCGTCTCAGGAAAACATTAATCATGTGCAACAGTATGTTCATATATAGATACATTTTCTTAACATGCACCTAAAGCTCAAACCATGTGCTTAAATCCCAGTGACCAAATTATCTGTGATAGAATCATAGAATAGTTAGGGTTGGAAAGGACCTTAAGATCATCTAGTTCCAACCCCCCCTGCCATGGGCAGGGACACCTCACACTAAACCGTATCACCCAAGGCCTCATCCACCCTGGTCTTGAACACTGCCAGGGATGGAGCATTCACACCCTCCCTGGGCAACCCATTCCAGTGCCTCACCACCCTAACAGGAAAGAATTTCCTCCTTACATCCAATCTAAACTTCCCCTGTTTAAGTTTTAACCCATTACCCCTTGTCCTATAACTACAGTCCCTAACGAAGAGTCCCTCCCCAGCATCATTATAGCCCCCCTTCAGATACTGGAAGGCTGCTATGAGGTCTCCACGCAGCCTTCTCTTCTCCAGGCTCAACAGCCCCAACTTTCTCAGCCTATCTTCATACAGGAGGTGCTCCAGCCCCCTGATCATCCTCATGGTCCTTCTCTGGACTTGTTCCAACAGTTCCATGTCCTTCTTATGTTGAGGACACCAGAACTGCACACAATACTCCACGTGAGGTCTCACAAGAGCAGAGTAGAGGGGCAGGATCACCTCCTTCGACCTGCTGGTCACACTCCTTTTGATGCAGCCCAGGATACGGTTGGCTTTCTGGGCTGCAAGTGCACACTGAAGCCTGCTCATGTTCATTTTCTCATCAACCAACACCCCCAAGTCCTTCTCCACAGGGCTGCTCTGAATCTCTTCTCTGCCCAACCTGTAGCTGTGCCTGGGATTGCTCCAACCCAGCTGTAGGACCTTGCACTTGTCATGGTTAAACTTCATGAGGTTGGCATCAGCCCACCTCACAGGCGTGTCAAGGTCCCTCTGGATGGCATTCCTTCCCTCCAGGGTATCAACCGAACCACACAGCTTGGTGTCATCGGCAAACTTGCTGAGGGCGCACTCAATCCCACTGTCCATGTCACCCACAAAGATGTTGAACAAGACCGGTCCCAACACCGATCCCTGAGGGACACCACTCATTACTGGTCTCCAGCTGGACATTGAGCCATTGACCACAACTCTTTTCATGTGGCCATCCAGCCAGTTCTTTATCCACCAAGTGGTCCATCCATCAAATTGATGTGTCTCCAATTTAGAGACAAGGATGTTGTGTGGGACAGTGTTGAACGCTTTGCACTAGTCCAGGTAGATGATATCAACTGCACAATAATGATAATGATAATGAGCTGTCTCTCCAAATGCTTATTAAAACTAGGAGAATATCTTTGTTTTGTTTCTTCCTCCAAATAATCACAGAATCACAGAATAGTTAGGGTTGGAAAGGACCTTAAGATCATCTAGTTCCACCCCCCCTGCCATTATTTATTAATTCTCCAAATAATCCAAAAATCTCCAAGTAATCATAGCAGGTTGAAAGAGGTGCTCCTGCCTCTCTTCTCTACACCCCACTTGGAGCACTGTGTGCAGTTCTGGTATCTGCAACATAAGAAGGACATGGAACTGTTGGAGCTAGTCCAGAGGAGGCCACAAGGATGATCAGGGGACTGGAGCACCTCCCGTATGAAGACGGGCTGAGAAAGTTGGGGATGTTCAGCTTGGAGAAGAGAAGGCTGTGTGGAGACCTCATAGCAGCCTTCCAGTATCTGGAGAGGGCCTACAAGGAGGCCAGAGCCCCTCTTCATCAGGCTGCCCAGGGAGGTTGTGGAGTCTCCTTCCCTGGAGACATTCAAAACCCGCCTGGACGCATTCCTGTGTAACATTATCTAGGTGTTCCTGCTCCGGCAGGGGGATTGGACTAGATGATCTTTCGAGGTCCCTTCCAATCTCTAACATACTGTGATTAGGACAAGGACAAGGGGGAATGGGTTAAAACTCAAACAGGGGAGATTTAGGTTAGATATAACGAACACATTATTTCTTGTGAGAGTGGTGAGGCACTGGAACATGGTGCCCAGAGAAGCTGTGGCTGCCCCATCCCTGTCAGTGTTCAAGGCCAGGCTGGACGGGGTTCAGAGCAACCTGCTCTAGTGGAAGGTGTCCCAGCCCATGGCAGGGGTAGGAACTGGATGAGCTTTAAGGTCCTTTTCAACCCAAACCAGTCTGGGATTCTATGAAAACAGTGTCATTAAACACACTTAAAGAATCACATACAGTAGAGTATTTAAGATGAAAATTAAAGGCACTTACCCACTTGTGATGTCATCAGCTCTGATATTCTTGCCCAGCACATCCCCATCACTCATATAGCCAGTGGCATCCATGGCAATGGCTTCCAGATCAATTTCATCACTTCCCTTGTCCGAGATGTCCACGTGGCAGACACTGCTGCCGCGAGATGCCAGCTGCCTCCGCAGCGGTGCCGAATACATGTAGCGTCCTGATTCCGTGTTGATGAAGCGGCTGGCATTCCCTCGTGGAGGATACCCGTTTCCCATCGATGGAGCATCGCCTGCCTGCAGGCGAGGGCTGGATTGCCCAAGTCTCCACGATAAAGGGGTCGGTCGTCCTGTCAAGCTGAGGATGCTGCGGCCGCTGATTTCAGTGGTGACGTTGGTGTCAAATGTAGTTTCCAATGTGCTTAAAGAGAGAAAAGCACTTAACTGAGTGTGGCCTGCTGTATGGTTTCAGGGGGATTGCAAGACCTTGCACCCTGAACTTGCACCAAGTTACAGACTGTGAGTAACAGCATTGACAGAACTTACCTGCCACAACACCTTGAGACAGGTCCATTCCTCCAACACTGCTCTTACATAATGCTACTCTTGCACCCAGGCCACCAAGTGTTCATCATTTATGTATTTCCCTGCCCATGGCAGGGGGGGTTGAAATTAGATGACCTTAAGGTCCTTTCCAAACCTAACTATTCTATGATTCTGTGATTCTATTCTATGAGAGTTCAGCTGAAATATATAGACTGTAGGACAGCTTAGTTTCAGCTAATCCATAGCTGCACCTTCTCATACCCACTGCTTTTCCTTCCCTGCTCAACCAACACTTTTTATTTTACCGTAGATATTTGCTAAAATAAGCAGCGTTGTACTATTTGCAATATGTTACATATAAACTATACAGTTTATGTGTTTACATATTACATATAAAACATATTACATGTAAAACACATACAAAAGTTTATATGTGTTTACATATTACATATAAAACCCTACGTATCCTCCAGTTAGAGTAATTAAATCATAGTGAGCTGTCACATTAATTGAAAATTCAAAAGAAAAACAGCATCGGGAGTTCAATCTTTGCAAGCTGTGCCTCAGTTTTAGATACAAAGCTAAAACACAAAGTGTTTCCCCCCATGAAATCATTTGGGGCTTTAGTCTACATGGCACTGAGCTCCAAGTAGGACCCCGACCTCACTAGGTGCTAAAGAGCTTATTCTCCCAAGCTTCAACACTGAAAAGATCTAAGTCACAGAATGTTTAAATGTAATAACAGTCTTTGTTTATTTAGAGCATATTTTAAATCTGGATGAAGATTTCCAAACGCTGCTTTACAAAAAAAAAAAAAAAAAAAGCAGTTCTATACATGGATAACTAATAATATTAGAGAAATTTGTTTGTGCAAAGATTGGTCAGAAATTCAAATTATACAGTTATGCACTTTATCAAGTGGGTCAAGCACAGTTCACCTGCTTATTTAAACAAAATATTACACATTAGGGGAGGGGGGTGTAATGCACTGAAGTTATTAAAGAGTAAGAAACATTTGAAACTGTAACTTATATTCAAACATCACTCAACACATTTAACAAGCACTGATCATTCCTCACCTTTGATTCTATAGACAACCTGCTACCATCAATTACTCAGAATACACCTCAGTAAACACTGAACATGACTCAGAATCTGTGCTTTAAAGACCAAAAGCACAAGATCAGTATTATCCACTGTCAGTGGTGATCATTTTTCAAGGATGTGCCCCACCCAGACCTAACAGATAAAATAAGAGCACAATGATTTCCATGATTTTCTTATAAGCAAAGCCATGCCATTACCTGTGAGTGACCTGGGTTCCTCTCAAACTAGACATGGTTTCCTCTAAGTTCTGCCGGAGATCAGCGATGTTTTTCACAGTTCGTAACCGCCGAGTTTCTGGATCCTCTCCTACAGGGAAAATAAGCCATAAGAAAAGATGAGGCAGGAAACAGCATACACCTGAGCCATTACCTCTGCCTCAATCTGGCTCAAACACCTTTTTTCCTCTGACTTCCTATTCTTTAACACTCTAAACTGATGATGACAGACATACCATTCCCCTACGGCCAGCACCTGCTGTTGCTGCAGCCAGGCTGAGAACAAGCTCTGTTCTCTTAACTTTATTTTACAGGCTGCCTTTGCACTAGAGCTTTCTGTGCTGTCATTTCCCCATATGACCCAATTTAAATTCTGGTTAACTTTCAACCTCATTAGAAGATCTGCTCCATCAATACCACCCTTTCCATCTCTTGTATCGACACAATTAACATCGACCCGACACAGCCAATCTCTCCAGTACTGTATTTTCACTAGATCTTCTTTTTCTCCAATTTAAATGAGTATCATTTCTACCACAAGAGCTTTCCAATAAACTAAATAGTGTTCACTAGGTGACTGTGCTGAGTGATGTTTCAGGTAAAATGGCAAAACTTTATGCTTGTCAACAACACAACACAGTTATCATTACTTAAATGTGCTACATGACACGCAGTGGGGGGATAACTTTCAGCTTCCCCGCATTTAGAAATCCCATTCTTTAAATACTCTGTTCTAAAACACATTTAGGTACTGTTCTTTAAAAGTAGTTTATATTCATTGAAGAAAAAAATCCTCATAGTGCCTCAGCATAATTTATTTTTATAAAATGAAGAATTTAATTACTGCTTCAGCATAACGTATTTACTTGCTGTCAGTTGTGAACTGAGAAATGTCTTGGATGCTACCTCAATTAAGCTATATATAAATAAACCTTCAAAGAGGTTGAAGAGAAGAGGATTTCTAGGAATGCAAATAACATCCTTTATAAGCTGAAACAGAAAACCTTCAAAAAGCTGTTACAAAGCTTCTGTTGGGCACAGAGAAAATTATTTCATTCTAAAGGGTTTACAACTCATGACCAAAGAAAATACTACAGCAAATTTAAAACTTGTAAGATTTTATATCTGCTTTCTCTGCACAAGTGATGCATTCTTAAGCTGCCAGGATATTGGTCACCCATGGAACTGCTAGCTTAGATGGCCATCTATATTACACAAATCAGAAATTGTAAGGATCAGATAAATAATCATAGAATCACAGAATGGTTTGGGCTGGAAGGGACCATAAAGCTCCCTCATGCGGGCAGGGACACCTTCCACTAAACCAGGTTACTGCAAGCCCCGTCCAACCTGGCCTTGAACACTGCCAGGGACAGGGCAGCCACAGCTTCTCTGGGCAACCTGTGCCAGCTGCTGTTGGAACCTGCCCCATTATTTGCTTTAAATTTCATGTTTCTGAAAGATGACAGGTTGGTGGCACAATAAAACCAAGTCACAGCCTCTTGCCTGCAAAGCAGCAGTAGCACAAACAACTCACCAAAGTGCTGGAGCCCTGACTATGGGGGCACTACCTAGGGAGGGGAAGATAGAAATGTTTATATCGTAATTAGCCTTTCTGAGATGAACAACAATGGCTCAACAAAAGCTCAGGTAGTGTCCACGTGAGTAAATTTTTTTTTAATGGGTCTCTACTCCTCAGGAAATAATTTCCCTGAGATGCAATTCACTTAGGCCAAATGGTCCAACAATTAAGTTCTGGCTGGAGTGCAAATAACTGCCTCACAAGACCCATTCCTTTAGCCAGCAGGTCTCTGGGACAGAAAGCATTGTCTATACTCATGGATCTACAATTCTTTTAAGTAAAGAACATCAAATATTTATAGGCCTTTAGCCTAACAAATGTCACAGTGCTCTTTTACAGATCATTACTCTCACAGGTATGAAGGCAAATGGTAGATAACTTTCTAAGAGAACATACATGAGACAAACTGAACCAGTTTCTATTGAGATCACTCTTATGCCTAAATTGATACCCAATTTTTACTGAAATGGCATTCAATTGCTTAAATTGTAAGTATACTTATAATACAGACACTGGATAGTGCCACTAGAACTTAAATTCTCTTCATGAGCAGGCAGCATCATTAAACTATTTAGCTTCCTTTCTTCCTTACCTGTGCTCTCTTTTGGTTTATATGTGCTTTTAAATTAAAAGCATCAATAGCTGCTATGTAAGGAGAGAAGAAATCTGTCCCTTATTTCTTCTAATTCATTTAGGTTGAGGGACCATTCTGTTTGGTATGCTCCTTTTTCCCTAAGATCCTTCTACGTACTGATGCTGTCAGAGGGGTTTGGCTGCATGCAGCTGGCTTCTGCATCTCCACTGTTTCAGGCTGTCAACCATCTTCCAGTTTTAGATATCAAAACTTACATATTCTACTTGAATAAAAAAACTCAAGGATTTTATCCCTTTTGCCATATATTTGCCTTTTAAATATTTAATCAACCTAGGTATAAATTGTACACACAGATATGCTCATTTATGCATTCTCCTCACAAATGACTGCCTCTTGCCTTTGCCACCAGCATATGTGCACCCAGGTATAAACCCAGCACTGACAGAATATGTAATGCAGTATGAAATTAACTCAGTTGTGAAACTTTTAGCCACATGATTGTTCCAAGCAGGGCAATCAGTTTCAAACCTCACATTAAACTGGAGGACACCGAGATTAAGTGGATGAAAAAACCTTGCTGATGAGAACTACTCCAAAAGTATGCAGTAAGCAAAGTCATAGACCCTGAAATTGGAATAGAAGGAGGCTTGACTGTGACTAAACCCATACCTTAGATCTTTAGCAGAACATGGTTGCTAAGAATTGTTTTCTTATATCAGTAAGTTTATAAATTATGCTTAAAAATTATCGCTAATCATCATATACTTCTTACAGGAGTATGAATTTAGATAAATATATGAAGTACTTTCTAATTTAGACTGGTAGTATTCTAATTACAATTAGTTTCAGCTTCTGTATGCCGGATATAGCAAATTGTAGCTGGATTTTGGTCTCCTATCGCTGCAAAGACAACTTCTGAAATCAGATTTTTGTGTGAGTGATACTGAGATTCCTCCAGACATATAAATGAACCAATACATCAAGGAAATTAATGTAATCTCTTCTGTAAGCTCTGAGGCAAAGTTTTAAAAACAAAAAAGAAATGTCAAATGCTTGGGAATACTCAGGATCCTTCAAATAGCTCAATCCTGAAAAGGTGCTAAACACTTCCAAGAAAAACATTAAGTATCCAGCATTCCTAATGATTTCAAGATATCTGGGGGGCACACCACTGTACAGAACTTGAGCATCTATTACTCAGATTATTGAAACACAGTTTCCATTGCTGAAGAGCTGAAAGAAATATTGTAACTCATCACAACTAAAACATTATGAATAAAATCAAATTAAATCCACCCCTAAAGAGGGAGCTCTTGACTTAAAACTTGCTTTAACCCATTATTTAACCAGACCACAGTGAGCAGCTCATGTTGCAAGACATACCCGAGAGGTCTTCGAGAGCAGGCTGTCCAGTTTTGACATAAAGAGCAGAATCGATGGCGACCCCTCCTGTGCTGGCCTCGGCTGTTACGTTCCCTTCATTGTCTGTCTGCGATCTGGAAGGCAAAACAAGAGATGTGCAGTCACCCTCCATCAAAAGTATCTCAAGTATAACAAGCAGGCAATTGCACCTGCCATCAGGCACTCTGCCCCTCTCTCCAGAATAGACCAGCAGACTGATTTTCCATAATTCATTAGTCCCATGTTGAATTACATCCTAGAAATGGAAACAAGCACTCAGCTGTGAAATAAAAAATTCAAAGTCAGTAATAGGCTTCACAGCTTGTCAGACAGGGCTAAAGACAACTGGATTTCCATCTACATTTTAATTCTCAGTAACATCAGTTGTGGCTAATCTGAGCTTGCACTGCATGAATATAAAGTGATTGGTGGGTGATGGCATGTTACCTGCCTGCTGGTTTCCCTTCAATAGCTAGCAATGTCACTTATTTGTATTTTAAAAGAAATAACTGGGTAAAACCAACTTCAAACTAATATTTCTTATCTGACATCACGGCTGTCAGTTAATGAAAGGTGATGTTTTAAGACCTTATTGTCAGATTCGAGTAATACATCTTGATTCCTTTCTTTTTACTAGTTGCACTCTGTTTTGCTCCTAGAGCCACATAAACAAGCGGCTGGAAGTTCTCCTGTCCAAAAGTTGAGTGCTGTACAAAAGTGAAGACAAAGCAGGGAATTACTATTGCAGTATTCTTCATTTCAGTTGATGCTATAGGAAATGTAGAACAATTTCTCATATCTTTTATTCAACAAAAACAGATCTATACTCAAACTAAGATGAACACCAAGTAAAATGCATTTTTTTGTTGTTTTGTCAGGACATTATAGTGATAAACGTCACAACCCAAAGTACCACGAACACATTTGTGGAGGATATGAGGGATAAACAATACAGCAATCAATTTGCAATCACAATTTTCTGTTTAATTATGGATTAAAATAGTACCACTGTACTGGTGATTATTAACTCGAAACAAGTATCAAAAATTACCAGTATTAGATCCCATCTTCAGACCAAAATGTAACAATTATGCTGATGTATGTTGCAAGAGCAAGAGAAATCAAGAGCATAGAATCTCAGAATGGTTTGGGCTGGAAGGGACCTTAAGGATCATCCAGTTCCAACCCCTTGGCACAGGCAGGGACACCTTCCACTAGACCAGGTTGCTCCAAGCCCTGTCCAACCTGGCCTTCAACACTGCCAGGGATGAGGCAGCCACATGTACTATTAATACAAGTTTTAGTCAGATGACTTTTTCCCAACTGGTTCTTTTTCATGTGTCAACCAACTGGCATTTTCTTCTATACAGGGGTAACACTCAAGGGGTCAGAAGAATCAAGAGTCTCTTCCCATTCTGCATTTCTATATAGGTAAGAGGAGTACCAGCTCAAGAAGGTGTTAGCATTCTCATCTTAACTGTTAGTAGGATTGGATACAACAGTTATTTACCCTCCTACCTGTCACAACTTCTTACACATCTTAGTCTGATGGCCTTTGCCAATGGTTTGTGTGTAAATCATAGAACAGTTTGGGTTAGAAGGAACTTTAAAGATCATCACGGTCCAACAACGTATATAAATTGTCAACTCTTAAAGCAAGAAACTTTTACAGAACTTGGCATGCCAGAGAGGCATTCTTCATCAGGGACTGTAGCCATATAAGGGGTGATGGGTTCAAATTTAAACAGAAGTTCAGGTTAGACATAAGGAAGAATTTCTTCACTGTGAAGGTGGTACATGCCTCATCCCTGGCAGTGTTCAAGGCCAGACTGGACAGAGCATTGGGTGTCATGTTCCAGTGTGAGGCATCCCTGCCCAGGGCAGTGGGTTGGAACTAGATGATCTTAAGGTCCTTTCCAACCCAAACCATTCTATGATTCTATGACTCATCTTGCTGTCTCAGCACCCCGATGAAAAGAATGTCCAAAATCAATCTCCCTATCCAAGCATCATGTTCAAAACAGGCCACTGGAGAAGTTCACCGTACCTGTACATGAAGGGAGCTACCGTAGCAGTGTTTGGGTGGCTGTATTGCTGTTGGGGATGAGGTAGCTGAACACTCACAGTATTGCTCCCTGTGGTGTGCGTCATCGCAGCAGCGCCATTCACAGCTTGGCTGCTGCTGTTGAGGCCTCCAATGCCTTTTCCTTCGGAAGAGGCGAGGCTGGATGAGGAGCTGGAATGCCTGCTGTCCAGCTGAGATTTCTGATGAGAGAGGCCCGAGCTGGCTTTCCCGCTGCGGCTTCTCTCACTTTCCTTTGTAGGAGCGGGGGCACTTGAGGATTTCCCTGTGGTGGTTTTCATTCCTGGTTTTGGTATTCCACTGTGAGAAGGGGCAGAGGCCTCCTTCTTGGCACTATTCAGCTTTCCTCCTTTAGGGATAAAGCTTGCAATCTTGGAGGACTTTTTTGGCATCTCTGTTGTCGCTAATGCTGTCTGTTCTTCTTTTGGTTCCTCTTTCAGGTCCAGCTTCTCAGTGATAGATGTTCTCTTTGCAACATCTTTACTTTTATCCTTTTCCTTCTCTTTCTGCTTCTCTTTATCCTTCTCATTACCCTTTGGAGAGCTTTTCTTATTAGTTAGTGCCCTGCTAAAAGTCCTTTGTGCAATTCCCTTGAGTGCAATTTTGGGACTACTGGACACAGATCCCGGGTTGTTCCCATTCTGATTTGCAGCATCTATTTCTTCATTCTCTTCAAAGCTAAGAAGTGTCTCCAGCCTTTCACAGCTGTTGTTCTGAGACCCTGGACACTCAAACGTTGTCCCTCCTGCTTTGGAGCCTCCTTTGCTATTGAAGAGTTTTAATTTTTCAAGCATAGATTTCTGACCGTTAGGAGTTGTTTTGGCAATTTCCAAGGTTGGCTTTGGAGGCTCCGGGGTGGGCTGCTTTACAGATAACATGGAAGACGTAGCTGTGTGCTTAGCACTGAGGGACTTGCTGCGCCAAGGTTTAATAGCAGAGCTGGGCTGAGGGATGGCTGAGTTATTGCAACTAACAGTACTGCTGCAGCTTTGAACTGAGGATGAGACATTTTCATTCATTCCTGTGGGCTGGGAAGCCGGACTGTCTGCAGGCTCTGGAAAAACGACAGAAAACAACCCAAAAAAACAAAACAGTAGTACCTGATATTGTAGCCAGCCTGAGATTACTTCTGTATTGAAACAGTAGGAACTTTACACTATTAACATTAAAAATATAGACACGTATTAGTATATTCAACATCAGTATCACTTAAAGTAAAAGCTTTCTTTTCCTACCCAGCAAAACAGCAATGAGCTCCTACTATATAATTTACATTTACTTGCTGTTTCAAGGAAAAAATAAAAAGAATATCCTCCAATTCAAACCAAAACGTGTTCTGCAATGTGTTCTCCTTTATTAAGTTCATAATACTTTTTTATTAGCAAAAACACAGCACTATTTTGTAAGTAAGGGTTCCCGCTGCTTTTGGCAACATACTTGCTGGCCAAGTTTGATTCTTAGAAAAACCTCAGGCATATAAAAAGAAATGCAGAAGTAAGGAAAAAAATTATAACTGAAGTCCTTTCAGTTACAGGGGAGGGGGGGGGGATGAGAACTTCATATGCAAAAGGTAGAAGAAAGCTCCATGTACAGAAAGAAAACCAATTCTGTCCTTATGCAATGAACCTAAATTAAGTATTAGTACATAATCCAGCTGTAAGAGAAACTAGTGGAAGTCATTTACAGCCCTCCCTCCCTCAAGAAAGCAATTCTTTTATTCATTTAGTTCCTAGTTCCTTTTAATGTTATTGGTTCTCATTAAGAAATTAGTTAGGAGCTTAAAGAGAGCTTGAAAAATCACACTCACCTACCAATGGCCACTTCTCCTCTGAAGTTTCTCTTTGCAGAATTTCCTTTCTGGAGACGTTACTCTCTCAATTATCACAAATGTGTTTTCTGTTAAACTGCTCATGTTTCCAATTAACTTTTGCCATCTATGTCTGTTTGCCTGCCCAGCAGCCTGCTGGGGATTAACGGCTCTTACCTATATTACCCTGCCTTCCAGCAATAAAGTAAACTGTGTATAGAGCTGCATTTTCTTAATTTAAAAATCAACAGCGGTTGGGAGCGTGTTTTTTTGGCAGCAGGAGCAGCCCTGCGAATCCATCCCTGTAATCACAAGTTGCTGCAACCACACAGGGGCTGGTTTACTTCACTTTCAGCTGCTCAGTGAAGATACGGCTCTGTTAACCTCCCTTCTCTGATCCAAACCAGATCTACTAAAGATTTAAAGCACATACATCTTCCTGACTTAGTGCAGAATCAGGTTTCTAAGAGTATCAGAGACTCCTTAATAAGAAACTCAGTCATTTCACATCATTACAGACAAAGCGGGATAGCAGGAATTAATGACACTTTAAAAAACATTACTGAAGTCAGAAGATTTTTCTGGACTCTGTTATTAACCAATAGCGATTATACAGGCTGGTTTTGCTAGTCCTTTTCCTATGGCAAACTACCCACACGGAGCTGGACGGAAGCAAGAGCTGAATTACAGACACAGAAAGGAATAGTACTTCTTTTAAGCTAGTGCCAATCTGCTGATTTCCAAGGCATTACTCCTGCTTTACTCTAGTCCAGAGGGAAAACCGAGCCACCAAATGTCCCAAACAGCAATACCACCTGGTCCTCTGGTTGCTCCGTTCAAGCCTGCTCAACACCAGATGGGTTAAACAGGCATGAAGAAGTGATAGCGTAGGAGTTGCAGTGACCCCCAGTGCAAGGGGAAGCAGCAACCCACCATCCCAGCATCCTACCCACAGACAGGAAAGAGGAAGGAAGGTCATAACTACATCAGAAGCTGCTGGAAATGTTACCCCTCTGCTTTCAACAGCTGCGCACCATTGCTGTTCCCTTCACACCTCTTGCTGTATGCTGCTGCTTTGTTATTATTTTGACTTCCTTAAATCCTCCTACCCATCAAAATCTACTTCCCATTGCAACACCACACCATGCTTCTTCTGTAAACCCAGAACAAGCAAGCCTTTGTTTCAGCCTGCCTTCCAGAGAAGATGCCCAGCACTGTAATGAGAGTGTCACAAAAATCCCAATTGTGCATCATGTACAATTAATTTGTATAGCTTCTTTTAAAGAAATAATAACTGCCCATCTCAATAATGAGATACTTCTACAGAAACCAGAGACTCATGGTACTTTTGACACTAAGTTCCTAATCCAAATGCCCTTTGGCCTAATCATGCTAAATAAATCTTGATACAAAGTGTATCCATGCCCATAAATCATCAGAGCTGCCAGCGCTTCATTCATGCCTAGGATGAATTTAGAACCGGTTCCAAGAGACAAACCTAATGCACTCATCAATATGGGGAGGGAACCCTTTGCTTTCTAGGAAAAACTGATTTGCAGGGAGTAAAGGGACTGGGACAATGCAGGGTGACAAACTGGAAGCTACTAGTACTAAAGGATGCAACTATAAAATAGAAGAGCTGTTTGCACACTTGGTTAGTACAACGTATGCAGCAACACAAACCCAGCTCAGGATGAAGCAGCGTTCAGTCTGAGCATACAGCCAACTCAACAGTCTTGGAAAAAAATTTGAGTTCTTCCCAGACAGGTTCTTAGCAAGAGTTTGGAAAAAAATAAAACACAGGCAACGTGTTATTGGTATGGACCAAGCCATCCTGCATTCACCAGAGCTCAGAGCCCACGTAGAGTCCTTGTATGAGCTGAGACCTGCAGGCTGAGGCACACACCTGAGATAAGAGTTACCCGAGTACCAGGTTGTGGTCTGTAACCCAGCTATCATGTCTGACTCCATCTCGAACAATGAACTTGCCGTTAACATTGCACATCTGCTGTAGGAGCAGAAACCAGAGGCAGCCCACATCAAAACAAGATTCCTACCAGCTCTGCAATGTTTTCCTGAAAGTCAGTGGCAGGTGTTGGTTCATTCGGGGCATCAACTTCATCCTAAGAGCCCTGGTGAGTGCTCCAGTTCACAGTCCTTTTGGGGAAAAGCTTTGCTTGGATCAAGTGAAACAGTTTGTTTTCCAAATCTAAAAGAATTGCTCAAAATTTATTTCCCAGAGAAATTGAGAACTTTTTAATTTCTTCTTTCTTTGAACATTTTCAGTTTGTTGGTTTTGGTTCTGTTTGGTTACTACATGGAACACACTTGTTTCAGGTTGTGTTTTTCAAACACAGCATTTGCTTTGTGCCCAACTCTCCCACATACACCCTGTTTGGAACTTAACCATGCTTCCCTTGCCAGTGGCACAGGATGAGGACAATGCAACTCCATTTACAGTTGCTCCTTATTTACAGACATGTCAGAGAAATCAGAATTAGGAAAACAACAATATAAGCATACCATTAAAAGAAAAGAATACGTTGCAACATTAATGTAGCTTTCAGAGTCTCTACCACGTGTTATCCAGGAGGCGAATTCTGTAAACGCTGGATGCTACACATCCAAAATGAATGGAAAAATATTTACAAACTCTTAAATACACGTTAAGCATCTACACTTTGGAAAATGAAAGAAGATATTTTCTTACACAAGCACAGTGGATTTTGATTCATACTTGGGTCAAATACACTGAAACTGGAAATTCAAAGTCCTCAGATTTTTGTTACATGGCACCATGCAAAGTTAATGCAAGAAATAAAAGGTTTACTGTAAAACATGCTCAGGAAAAACAGCCTCAGCTTAAGAAAACCTGGGTCTGTAAGATTTTCCGTCCTTTTATTACAAACAAGGCTGCTGGCTCTTTTAGTCTTCAGACAAAACTTGGTAAATGAAGCAAGTTCTGCTGCCAGAATGTAGATTCAATTGCGAGGTTTACTAATGAAGCAGTAACATTAATACGCGAACAACACATCAGCATGCAAAGGGGAAAGTTTTATTTAGCATAGCATAGGCCCTTCTTTCATGAAAAGGAGGGCAGGTTTCATGCATCCGATTAATAAGCTTATTATTTCCCATGTGTTCCTTTGTGAGGGAGATATTTTCTTTCTTCAGTAATCTGCATTAACTAAAACTGACTATAAATGTTTTCAAACCCAAGCTACAGCCTACAATAAATAACAATCACTTCCCTCTTCTCAAAGTCAATTCTTGGCCTAAAATCTATTTTGTTCCTAGCATTCCTGTTAAAAAAGATGTTGGTGGTCTAGTTCTGATGCCAATGCACACTGTAGCATGGGTAAATCTGATTTCAGCTGCTCCTGCAAAGTCTTCACTGCATCTGCAAACCTACCCATTTATAATGAAAAAAACAAAAAAAGAAAAGGAGTCTGAAAGCTTATGATTTAATTCTTCCACTGAACTCTTCAAGAGCTTACATTATAAGGTCAGGAGAAAATGTATGCAATTTCCCATCATTTGTCATGTTGCTCTAAGCAAGTTGACTTTGATTTGCTGTAACTGAAAATTTTGAAACCCAACCATTGTAAGCAGGAAAGGCAATGCAAAGAAAGGACGTTCTCATAGTTACTCCTTCTTAAGAGGGTCAAGAACTTAACAGCATTTTTATTCATTTCAAAATGAACAAGCTGGCATTTTTTATTTATTTATTTTATGGAAAAATAAAGAGTTCTCATGAAGAGAAGTATCTTTTAATCCAATCCATAGATGAGATAACAGTGTTAAAAGCAAATCCACCACCAAACTCTAATTTAGGAAGCAAAAGCAGATCTCCTCCACGACATAACAGTTTCAGAATTGCAGAAACCACTGTGGCAGTTTCAGCATCTTCCATCGAGATGAATAAGTGGTGAGAGTTGACCCTTCCCATCCACCCACCAGAAGGCTCCTTTGAAACACTACAAATAATGAGTCCTATGGAGAAAAGCTTTTTAGCTGAGTTGTTCTCCTCTTCAGTAATGATCTGTCATGCTCAGCAAAACCCTGAAGTATAGAAATAACGGCATTTCTGCCAGGAGCCAACTATAAAGATCACAATCTTTCCATAATCCAAATCAGAAGCAGGTAGAGCAGAACATTCCCAACAAGAGCAACCTGGCATGCAGCCCTTCCTCAAAATAAGCACAACTCTTTGGACCCATTGACATTTCTGTTTCAATTGTAAAGCT